AAACATTTATGATTCAAGGTTTTGTCAAATTTTCTAAATATTTTTCATCTTATGTAGAAATATCGATCCCAAAAACGACAAGCTCCGGTTGGTCAATTAGTTACTTCCAACGAGGAACATCAATCCAATGTGTTAAATTCAAGTAATTTCTCTGCGGATGTGAATGAATTGTTTCAAGGAGCAGATATACCTCAACCACCAGAAGTTCCTTCTGTAGATACTTTACCAAGTTCAAATGATTATTCCTTGAACGAGTGCGATGATTGGATTAATGAATTTCTAGAACTTGACGATTTCGAGCTGAAATTAAGCTAGTAAATCAGAGTGTCAGATCCTACAACTTGCTAGATTACATGCCTTTTTTGAAAGCTCAACTCAAACATTCCTAGATGTTCAACATTTTTTATTGATCTATTGTGTTTGGCCTCTGCCTCTGTAGAACTCAAATAATCTTTTAACTTTTGTTCTTTTGCATATGAAAGGATTGAATGAATATATTTTTTTCATTTTGTGTGTATGCTTTACTCATAAGACACGGATCTCCTTCTTGAATCAATTTTCATCATGCCTTCTTCTATTTATTTTTTTGTGATTGAAAATAAAAATAAATGTTATTCCTTTTAATAGACGTTAGTGTGGTTTCTTCTACTGATGTTTTATGAAGGAACAATATGAAATATGGAAATCGTCTAGTAGGATTTGTTTGTCTTAGTTCATTTATTAATAGGTTTTCTAATCCTAGTTTAAGGCCTCATTTTTTTTTATTAAGATTAAGATGTCTGAATCTGAATGACTAAGATCTTGTCTGTAGATCTGAACATCGAAGAATTAAAATCGTTTGTTTTCAAACATCTGAATATATATAAATAATTTATTAGTATGTAAACACAATAAGTATTATAATTCAAATAATATAGTAGTTAAATATTACATCAATAAAATATTAGAAAAAGTGTGATTCTTTGATAAACGTATATTTGAATTATAAATAAATATTTTAAGTTTGATAAAATAAAATGGAATTACATGAATTACATATATAAATTATAATAATAAAAATAATTGTTAGAAAAAGATTTAGTCATCCTTTTTTTTTAAAAAAAAATTTCAATATAAATTAATCTTAAATAAATAGGTGAAACATCTCTATGTTCTATTATGTGTTTGCCCATGTACTCTTTTCTGAAATAAATAATGAATATGATACATTCAAATGATTTTAAACAAATTTATAAAGACATCCTAATCCAATTTCAACACATATTTATGAAGTTGTTTTGCACTTTAATCAAATAAATTTTATCGATTTTTGGTAAACAACTAGAAAGAACAAAAATTAAAAGTTAAGAGAAATAATTTAGATAACTAATAAAGTTGGGGAATGAAACCTGAACTATTTTTTTTAAGAAGAAAAATATGGAGCACAATTTTTTTCTGAAAACAAAAGTGTCTTTAAAAGGGTCTGAATGAGATAAGACTCTGTCACAGATCTGATGCATTCAGCCCTTTTTAGACCCATTAAAAGATTTTCAAGTAAAAAAACAAACGCACTTAATGGCCTAATGTCTGGACAATTCAGATTCAGACCTCCATTAAGAGCAAACAAATGAGGCCTAATTTGGTTTCCTACCATTAGAAATAGGGATGTTGCTAGTCATTTTCAATATACAGAAATATATACGGAAAAGAAAGATTTATAAAGAAATAGAGAGAACTTTAAAAAAAATTCACTATGACTAAATTTCTATTTAAACTCATATAGCTCAGTTAGTTTACCTATCTATTACTAGGTTTAGGGTTCGCTAGATTAATACTTAAAGTCGGATGTCCATCACGTCGTACCCTAAAATGGAGCGAACGAATAAAGAATAAAATAAGAAAAATCTAACACAATCATTTTTTTTAGAGGACCATAAGTGAAAGCGACAATATAGTTTGAAGGATTTGAGCAACATAGTTAAATTATGAGGAACATATAGAGAGAGTAAGTCTTCAACTATATAATTATTTGTGAATATATTTTTAGTTAGTTTATAGCTTTCAATGTTTATATATTTTATTTCAAATTTGGGCTTGTAAAATTTTGTAAATATTATTTATATAATTTTATTTTATTTATAGATAAAAAAATATTACTTATAATCTACTTTGTGAATATATTTTTAGTTAGTTTATAGCTTTCAATGTTTATATATTTTATTTCAAATTTGGGCTTGTAAAATTTTGTAAATATTATTTATATAATTTTATTTTATTTATAGATAAAAAAATATTACTTATAATCTACTTTGTGAATATATTTTTAGTTAGTTTATAGCTTTCAATGTTTATATATTTTATTTCAAATTTGGGCTTGTAAAATTTTGTAAATATTATTTATATAATTTTATTTTATTTATAGATAAAAAAATATTACTTATAATCTACTTTGTGAATATATTTTTAGTTAGTTTATAGCTTTCAATGTTTATATATTTTATTTCAAATTTGGGCTTGTAAAATTTTGTAAATATTATTTATATAATTTTATTTTATTTATAGATAGTTACACTTTTCCAACTTTATCATAATTGTAGGATACTTATAAGACTAGAAGGTACTCTCTAATAGTGCATATAATTATTTTGTTTGTTCAAACATGTTTTTATTTGTATGCAACCTCAATTTTTATATCAATTATGTAGAAACTTTAATAGTGAATAATTTCGATCATTATTATTAATAGAACATAAGAAGAATTATTACTCAAAATCTTTACGTTAATAAAAATATAAATTGTTGTAACTATTATTTATAGATGATTAAAAAAATAAAATTGGGAAGAAAATAGTAAGTAAAAATTACACGTTATATTAAATTATCTTTACATTAATAAAAAAAGAAATTGTTGTTAGTATTATTTGTAATATAATTAAACAAAAATAACAATGGGAAGAAAATAATAAGTAAAGATTACACGTTGTATTAAAATAATAAGTATTAAAAATTATGATAAATTTTATAATAGTCATAACAGGAATTTACGCAATAATTACTATATTAGAATACTAGAAAAATTGATAAGTTCCTCGACATCTAATCATTGATTAAAATTTAAATTATTATTTTCTTCTGCGAAAGTTTAAGAGATTAAATTAATGTTTTAAAAAATAATATAACAAACTGATTAATTAATTATTTTCAATGATTAATAAGAAAATGTATATAGCAAGTACATGTATTATTATTACATTATTTATATCCACTCTATATTAAATCATTTTTCTATTATAGTTTGACGCAAATTTCAGAATGTAAAGAATGTTTTGGATTCGAAAAATAAATATTCAAAATATACTAACATGTCATTTAATCTTATGATATTTTACATTTCATGTGAAAAAAAATTAAATATTAATTTTTTAATATGAAAAATATTAATTTATTAATACAACATAAAAGTAATAAAGGACAATATATAAAAATATTTGAAGTATTTGATATTTTATTAAATTAAAATAATTCTAAATTAATATATAGCCGCGCAACGCGCGGGTACGTATACTAGTGAAGAACAATAATAAAGAAGAAGACAATTGAGTTAATATTTATTTTTTCCAAGTTTAATTTAACACATGACCAATTTTTATTGGTCAGTGCTGTCAAAAAGCTGCACCCACGCGCCTAAAATAGGTGAAATCACGGACTCAGCCACGTAGGCCGAAAAGTGGTAAACAATTAACTAAAAAATAAGTTCAGGGGGGTAATAGGACCTTAGTAAAGGTTAGGTGTGTCTCAGGGATTTTGGGCATAGGCTGGGGGGGTACTTATGCATTTTCCCATTAAAATATTTCAGAAGAATGAAAACAATGAAATATATAGAGATTGAATACTATTTAATATATCATGTATTAGGAGAAACCATAGAGGGAGATAATTGCATATTTAGAGGCTTGAAAGTGTATTAAAATTTACTCAATGTTTCAAACTTCAATTTTTTCTTCTTTTTCCTTTTAAAAAGGTTATAAGTAAAGGTGCAGCTAGAGCTACAATCAACGAAACATTGTCAGTTTAATACAGTATCAAAATATTATATGGTGTATATAGATCAAATATTAATACTAATTTATGTACATTTATTAAATCGTGAGCACTCCAATTAAAATTCATACTTTGTCATTAGTAGTATGGATATACTACTAGGAAAACAATACAACTACTACTATTACTACAGCTAATCTAAAGCAATTTGTGATCGGTTGTATGAATTGATCTTCAATGGCCGTGTTGTCTTTTTATCTAAGTATATCACATACCAATATAGTATAAAATAAAAATTAGAAGTACTAGAAGTTCTATACTTTTTATACTAGCATATAAATCTCACACGAGACCAAAAAGTTTCTGAAAGCATGTTATTTGAAATGAACTTGCTAGCATGACTAAAGAAATATTATCAACTACAATCCCTATTTCAATTTGTTGGTCTGTTTTAGTTTGATACAGAATTTAAGAAAGTAAAGATAAATTTTGAATCTTGTGATCTTAAACTAAAAATGTGTCGAATGTACCAAAATGTCCTTTAATCTTGTGGTTTGAAACATAAATAGTAAAAAGTTAAAATTAAAGAGTTGTCAAATAAACAAAGAGACAAAAAAATAAAATTGAATGTACTAAAAATTAAAGTAAAATTGGAAAATTGAAATGGGGGGACTAAGTGATATTGTCTGTATCGCGAAAATAGTCAAGACTAAATTATTTTGAACATAAATTGGTAGATTATCTACATCTTTCTTAATTACATCTCCCTAAAATATTGACTACACTAATTATTGACTTGCTACAAAGGTAGATTTCGAAAATCTAATATTCTTCATCTCTATTTAATTGACAAAATTTTATCCTTCATTTAGTATAAGGTGGTAGAAACAAAAAAAAAAAAGAAGAGAAACCAAAGAAAGAGAACAAAAATTCAAAAATCTCTTCTTCTTGTTCCTCTCAAAATTTTCATAGGCTAAGAGATGGATTGTGAGATAATTTGTAATGTAGATGTTCCTTCAGCCTATGTTGGCCTCAGAATTCTCTTGGTTGATCCTGATAAATCTTCTTTATCAAATATAGCAGCAATTCTTGAAGAACATTCCTTTAAAGGTACAATAATTTTATGCCTCTTTTAGTTTTCTCTCATATGTGCTGAGCCTTTTTCTCCTAATTTTTGTTGGATCTTCTAGGTAAAACCTGTACTTGTAGTCTATAGATAAAAAAGTGAATTCTGTAAAATTGCTTATTGAGTTTGTTTTGTAAGATACATGAAACTTATAGATCGAATTTAATTTTTTGAGGTAGATTTGAGTGTTGAAATTCGAAGAAGAAAAATTATTTTATTATTGGCAAAAAAATTGAGATGCACATGACTAAAGCTTGTAGTAAATTTTAACATGTGTTCCAGTCATGTATGACTAAGTGCAGGTATAGATTAATAAATTACAACAATGCTTAATAAGGTTGTTAGATTTGTTGTTGTTTTAATAAATTGATGGTTGAATTTTTTGTTTATGATGCTAGAGAACATAACAAATGGATGTAGCTAGTTAAATTGTGTCATTAAATAATTTATGTAATGGATGTTCGAGAACATAAGATTTTTCTAAAATTTTAATTTGAATTGTCAAACAAGAACACTTTATCATTTGTTTAAATGTTCAATCGAAGCATATTGTAGCTTAAATATCTAAATAAAATTTAATGTCAAGTGTAAAAGGTTATCGATATATCAAACCTTATGAAAATATATTCATTTAATCGTCAAATTTATCAACATCCTAGCTGAGTTGTACTTTATTTGGAAAATAATTAGTTGGATTCTTAGGCAACAAATTCAAATTAATTAACTTATCAAAGACTTGAATGATATTAGTCACCTAGCATCAATCAAATATTTCTTTCTATACTTCTAATGTAATATTATTAGTCAGTTCATACTACCTTTATCTGTGTAATAACATAAAGGAAATGGAAGTTGTATCACTGATTATCATGAAAATATCCCACAACATACATAATTTTTTTGATATTTTTCTGAGCTTGATTTTTGTTTATAGTAACTGCGATCGAACAAGCAACTATAGCTCTATCCATTCTCCGGGAACATATCGATCAATTCGACTTGGTCATGGTGGATGCCAACATGCTTGAAATGGACTACCTTGAATTCATCAAGTCCACTCAACTCATCAAAGACAAACCTATTATTTGTAAGACCATTTCCTCAAAATCTTAATTATTTTGCTTGGTTTAGTGTGTGCTATTCATTAATTCAAAAGTATATTTAAACATGTTAATATAACACATCATTATTGAACATTATCTACTATAATAATAATATCAAAAAATTGTGTTCTTTAACACATTAGTGTTAGTTGTAGATTCTATATATATATTTTTGTCAGATTCTATATTTATATAAGTTCCTTACAAAAGTGGTGTATATAAATTTGAACATCTAACTTCTCCCCACAATTCTAGATACCTCATTTAATTAGTATTTTGTTCTGATTTTTTATTTTTGGCTTAGTGATGTCTCCAGAGGTGACGATCGAAATGATAAAAGAAGCACCAACACAAGGGATATGCTACATTTTTAAGAAGTCGCTCATTTCATCATTGAAACTCAAGGATGTATGGAAGTATGTGAAGTGGCACAATAACAAGGCAAATGAAAATTCACAACACTACAAGGCTAATCAAGTTTATGTAATGGACAACACATCTTGTCCTGAGAAAATGCAAAACAAAAAGGGAAAAAGCATAACGAATTGCTCTGAGACTTATCAAGATCAAGCGGTAGATTCTTTAATAGAAAAAGATGAGGCAAAAAGGTTTAAGAGAATGAGAAATACGATTGAGGAGGCACAAGTTAAACGTAGTGCTCCTTTAGAAAAAGAGGAGGATTATTCTTTGCTTTCGAAAATAAGTACAAAAAGACCAGAAAAGAAAAGACGAAATCTGAAATGGACAACAGAGCTTGAGAAGAAATTAGACGAGGTTGTTCGCAAGTTAGGAGACAAAGGTAAGTGTTCAAAGACTTTATTTTTATCCCGATAGAGAGAAGTAGAAAAATAAGATTGTTGGTTAAAGAAAATCTTAAGTAGACATTTTCTTAATGTTCACAATTTTACTATTAAATTCTTATTATTTGTCTTACCGTGTTGATTTAGCTGGTCCTAAAAATGTGCTGGAGAGGATGTGTGTGCAGGATTTGACTAAGGAATGTCTCACCTACCGTCTAAAGGTATCCAAGTATGAAAAAATCATTCTGATTCAAGGTTTTGTCAATTTTTCCTAATATTTTTAATCTTATGTAGAAATACAGATCCCAAAAACGACAAGCTCCGGATGTTCAACCAGTTACTTCAACGAACTTCAACGAGGAACATCATTCCAAAGCGTTCAATTCAAGTACATTATCTGTGAATGTCAATGAATTATTTCAAGGAGCATACATACCTCAACCACTAGAAGTTCCTTCGGTAGCTTTACCAAGTTCAAGCGATTATTCCTTGAACGAGTGCGATGATTGGATTAATGAATTTCTAGAACTTGACGATTTCAAGCTGAAATTAAGCTAGTAAATCAGAGTGTCAAATCCTACAACTTCCTAGATTACATTCCTATTTTATTTTATTTTTCATTTTGTGTGTATGCTTTACTCATAAGACATGGATCACCTTCTTGAATCAATTTTCATTATGTTCGCATCATGCCTTCTTCTATTTTATTTTATTTTTGATTGAAAATAAAAGCAAATGTTGTTCCTTTTAATAGAAGTTAGTGTGATTTCTTCTACTGATGTTTTATGAAGGAACAATATGAAAGATGGAAATCATCTAGTAGGATTTGTTTGTCTAAGTTCATATATGAATAGGTTTTTTATTCCTAGTTTAAGGCCTCATTTGTTTCATTAAGATTAAAACGTTTGAATCTGAATACACATCTAAATGATAAGATCTTGTTTGTAGATCTGAACATTGGAGAATTAAAACCGTTTATTTTCAAACATCTGAATATATATAAATAATTTATTAATATGTAAAAACAATAAGTATTATAAATCAAATAAAATAGTAGTTAAATATTACATCATAAAATATTAGAAAAAATGTGATTCTTTTATAAACGTATATTTGAATTATGAATAAATATTTTAAGCTTGATAAAAATAAAATGGAATTACATGAATTATATATATAAATTATAATAATAAAAATAATTGTTAGAAAAAGATTTTGTCATCTTTTTTTGAAAAAAAAAAATATTCAACAAAAATTAATCTTAACTAAATAGGTGAAACATCTCTATGTTCTATAATGTGTTTGGCCATGTTCTCTTTCTGAAATAAATAATGAATATGCTACATTCAAATGATTTTAAACAAATTTATAAAAGCATAATAATCCAATGTTAACACATATTTATGAAGTTGTTTTGCACTTTAATCAAATAAATTATATCAATTCTTGGTAAACAACTAACAAGAACAAAAATTAAAAGTTCAAGAGAAATAATTTAGATAACTAATAAAGTTGGAGAATTAACAAGACTTGAATTATTTTTTTTAGAAAAAAATATGGAGCACAATTTTTTTTTGAAAACAAAAGTGTTTTTAAAAGAGTCTGAATAAGAATAAGACTTTGTCACAAATCTGATTCATTCAGACTTTTTTTGACTCATTAAAAGATTTTTAAATTAAAAAAAAAATGCACTTAATGGCCTAATGTCTGAACCATTCAGATTCAGACCTCCATTAAGTGCAAACAAATGAAACCTAATTTGTTTCCTACCATTATAAATAGTGATTTTGTTAGTCATTTTCAATACACAGAAATATATACGGAAAAAGAAAGATTTATAAAGAAATAGAGAACTTTAATTAAGATTCAAGTACTTTTGAGTTTATAATATTTTCCTTCAAAATGATATTAGTGCCTGGTAGAGAATCAAAGAATTCCCGCTGCCGGCGGGCAGTTATTACCTAAATATGTCACCCGTTTGACCAATGATCATGTTGACAAAGACTTGAAATGAATTACATATGCATACAAAAAAAACCTCAGTAAACTGCTTCCAACCCATCACAAGAGAACCAACGGGCCTACAAGCAAGAACCGATCTGCACCACTCCTAGGCCACTCCCGCAAACTAATGAGGGGTAACACACTCCATGTGCCTCTAAGATACCTAGGTTGAACAACCTATCCTGGAACTCGGTCAAAAAGTCATAAGCCTACTCTCCATTCGTACTGTCTGGGAGGTGTCAAGCTAACAAATCTCTCAAAGCTCTTCTATTCGGCAACCAACATGGCCGCACTAGCAAAACGAACTACCAATCTCGGAGTTGCCATAGAAGTCACTGAAGAGGAACCAGGAGTCTGAAATCCCACATTAGGCCCATGAACTGGAGATGTAACACCAACTATAATAGGAGGACCTGAAGTACCCAGAAGAACACCATAAGGAGGGGCACTATCCAATCTAGACAATAACTTGACGATCAACTCCTGAAGTATCGGAGTGCTGCCTTGAAGTGAAGGAGGAACATCAATGAACTTCATCGAGGAACATCATTCCAATGTGTTGAATCTAAGTAACTTCTCTGCGGATTTCAATGAAATATTTCAAGGAGTAGACATACCTCAACCATCAGATTTCCTTTTGTAGCTTTACCAAGTTCAAACGATTATTCCTTGAACAAGTGTGATGAGTGGATTAATGAATTTCTAGAACTTGACAATTTCGAGCTGAAATTATGCTAGAAAATCAGAGTGTCAGATCCTACAACTTGCATTGCTAGATTACATTCCTATTTTTGAAAGTGTCCGAAATATATGTAGTGTTTTGTAATGTTAAGTCTAATATGAATTCTTTTTTGTTTATCTTGTGGTTGTCTTTCACTCTATTTTTCGTGGGAGTTTCAATCTTATTATTATCTATTTAATTTTTTTTATTATTCAAAGGTATGCCCCAATTACATATGTTTTCATATTTTTATTCAGTACTCTACAGAGGCTCATGCATAACTAATTAGTATTCAATTACAAACTCAAGAAATTTATAAAAAAAATCACTATGATTAAATTTCTATTTAAATTCAAATAGATCAATTAGTTTATCTATCTATTACTAGGTTTAGGGTTTGCTTGATTAATACTTAAAGTCGGATGTCAATTACATCGCACCCTAAAATGGAGCGAACAAATACAGAATAAAAACATTTTTATAGGATCATATATGAACGCGACAATATAGTTTGAAGAATTCGAGCAACATAGTTAAATTGCGAGGTACATATAGAGAGAGTAAGTCTTCGATTATATAATTCAAATATTTTAGAAGAATGAAAACCATGAGATATATAGGAATTGAATACTATTAATATAGTATGCATTAGGAGAAACCATAGAGGGAGATAATTACATATTTAGAGGCTTGAAAATGTATTAAAATTTTACTCAATGTTTCAAATTTCAACTTTTTCTTCTTTTTCCTTTTAAAAAAGTTATAAGTAAAGGTGCAACTAGAGCTACAACCAACGAAACGTTGTCAGTTTAATACTGTATCAAAATATTATATGGTATATATAGATACAATATTACTACTAATTTATGTACATATATTAAATCGTGAGCACTCCAATTAAAATTCATGACTTTGCCGCTAGCAGTATGGATATATTGTTATCTCCTGTATTCAGATTAGCAAACCAGAAATAATAAAAGATGAAAAGAAAAACACAAAGAACTATTCGAGTCCACAGAACCCACTGTGTGTCCTTAAGAAATTTAATCCCCTCAAGTACCCGAGGTTGCAGATTAATTCCTCCCAAGATAAAACGGATTAACCATTAAAGAAGTAGCGGTACCTCAAACTTCGATAATTTCAACGAACTCAAAATGACAGCAACGAATCACACACAGAGACACGATCGATCGATTTTGTTTTGTAAGAAATGTATGCAAAAGAAGGGAAGAATTCGAT